TTAAAATTATATATTAAAAAATATTCTTAAATAGTATATAATTATATCTAAATAATTAAAATTATAAATACTTTACTATTAAAAAAAATTTATATATAGTATGTTCATATATCTACATTTTTGCACTGGATCATAAATATAAATTAATAATAGATAATACTTATATGATAATATCTCTAAAAGATACTTATTAATAAATAAATAAAGAAATAAATAATTATAAATGAAATATATAATTATAATAATGCACTAACTAAATTAGTAGAACAAGAAAAAAAAGAAATTCTATTAAGAAAATTATCTATAACTAAAATAGTTCAATTATATATTGTGACTTTATGAAGTAATTTTTGTGACATAATATCATGTGTGATGCAATATATGATATAGTAATAATCTGTGAGAAAAAATTAAATTTATTATAATTCTATTATTATTTTACTAAATCTAAAATGCTTCTTAAAAATAATACTTCATTATAAATCTTATTAGTTTTAGTATTAATGATATTAAAAATATCTTTTAAATTTTTTATCTTTTCTTTTTTAGCAGTTTCTATTGTTTTTTCTACTATTATTTTTTCTAATCTGAGCTTTTATTATTTTAGAATCAATTTTATTTAATTTAATTTATTTGCATTTAATTCAACTTCAAAATTATTTTTATTTTTTTCTACATATCCCTATAATAAATTTCAAAAATAAAACTATCATTTTGGAATTTAATTTCTTATAATTTAGTAATCTTATTTAAATAAAGATATTATCATAAGATTCATAAAGTCATGACAAATTTAATAAAGTATTTTTATTTAAATTAAATCATTGAATTTTGAAATATTGAATTTTAAAGTAATAAATTTGTTTTTAGTAATATATTATAGAAGTATGTAAAGTCTTTCTCTTAACTTTAGTAATTTTTTCTCATTTATCTTATTTGTTGATTACATTATCATTAATTACTTGATCAACTTTACTTTCTGAATATTCTGTTATTAATTTAATAGCATTATTACTACTAAAATCAGAAATTTTATTTTTTATTTTAATATAAATCACAGATTTTGCTCTTTATGAGAAAGTTATGAAGGTTTTGCCTCTGAAAATTAAAAAAAATTTTTAGAAATATTTTCTCACTTACTATGAAGTTTATCAACATTTTTTAAAGAAAGTATATTAGTATTTTTAATTAAATTTTTAACATATTTATTATATATTATATTTAAATAATCATTATTAAAAACTTATCTAGTTAATTCTTTTTCATGAATTTTTTTTCATAAATAATTATTGGTTCTTTACAAATTTTTACTATAATAACTGCATCAGAATCTAATATTTTATAATAAGTACTAAAATTAATAATTTCTAAATTATTATAAACTTATCAAAAGAATTTAGAAATTTGACTATCGATCTAAGTTAAATATTTTTCTTTATATAGAAAAGAAACTTTCATAATATTTAGACTAGTCATTTTATTTTTATTATCAGAATTTTAAATTTTTTCTTTTTATTAGCATTTCAAGAATAATTAGAAGAAGAAATATAGTTAAAAAGTTTATCTTTGTCAATTTCTTTAAAAGAGTTCAAACTTGATATTAAAAATTAATCATTATATAAATAGAATGAGTATAATATTTATCATTTTTAATATAATTAATTTTAATAATTAATCTATAACTAATCTCTTTTCTATTATTATCAATGAAGGATAGTATAGTAAATGTATATATTTTATTTGAAGTATTTTTATTATTTTTAGCTATTAAGTCAAAAAACTTGTAATCACCTATCTCAAGAGTTTTAAGATCATTCTTTAAAGTAATAATTAAAGTAGTAATATTATTTTCTAATTTAATTTGTTTATCTAGTAATTTTTGATGATTATTTTTTGATTTAAACCTTTAATTTCTTTAACTTTTTTTTCTTTTTTACTCTCTAAATTTAAAATTTCAATACTTACTTCTTCTTCTTTGTGATCAAATTCATATTCAGATTCAGCAAAAAAAATATCTTCAAATTGACTAACAACTTTATCAATTGGTTTATTACTACCAATTCCATTAACCACTTGATAAGGAATAGGATTAGTTCTTTATTCTACCAGTGAAGGTTTAAATAGAGCCCTTCTATTATCAGTTAAATCCATGATTTTAGTTTTTACTTTATCTTTGGATTGTTTTCAATTATCAAGTATTTCAGTGGTGTGTTGAAGTAAAGTTTTATTCAAAGTGTCATTTGATTTTAAAAGATTACTATCAAAGATAGACTTTTCTTCTGGTTTAAGGACTCCTCCATAATAATTGGAGTATTCTTTTGCTTCATCTATTGTATTTATATCATTTTTTTTGAATGTCATGATTTAATTTCTATATTATATTTTAATATTAATATCATTAAAAGATTAAATATAAAGAATTTAATAAAAACTAATAAAGTAATAAAA